CACACAACAACCATACCATTCGAGGGGGGACAAAAGCTCATTAGTCCCAGGCCTGTCGGAACAGCCAGGTTTTAAGGGCTTTGCGGAAGGCCTGGAGGGGTAAATTCTGAGTAAATAGGTAGAAATCTTAGAAATATTTTCTTAAATACTTTTAAGTTTGTTGAATTATGTTCATTTTAGTCAGGTTAAGATTGAGCCTCCTATTTTATGCAATCATGCAATTAAACTGTAATTCTAAAAGTGTTTCTATAGCTAGTATCAAAGGTTTATAGTGGTCCAGAAAGCAGACCAAGAAATGTACAAGTTGGCTGGATCTTACAGTGTGTGTAGTTATAATACATACATACATTCATAGCATCAGCGGGAATGAAACTAAATCATGTGGTGGTCACCTGACGAACTATGTGGATCAGCTGTGGCTATACTGGGAAGTCTCCATTATTTTCCTCCTGGAATTAGGACCGAAATGAACTCCCCAACAGTTGGGATCCTAGGGCAGGCTTAGGATCACATTCACCTTGGACTTTTGGCTGTGTGCAGGAAAAGATCTGGGAATTCTACCAGCTGAGATTGTTTCAGAAATAGAGAGGCAGTAGGAAGGCTGTGGGCAGGGATTGACAGTGAGATAGTAACTGGATAAGGAGATATGGGATGCAGCGGGCAGGCCATTCTCGGGGAAGACCAACCGGGTAGCTAACACTTGCTTTCCAGATCGCTGTGCTCAGCATTGAAATCTAGTCTTCACAGCTTTGGAGGCCCTGCACTCCAGCTGCCCTTGCTTAATGCCAGGCGGGCCTGCAATAAAGCTTATCTCAGATGATTATGGATGAGAGAACTGATCTGGCCTGCATTATCAAAATCTGGTTGGTCGTAGATGTGGGTCTTCTTCCCCATACTCTCATACGTTTCAAGTGTGACACTAGCTGTGATTCTGGGGCGGGGCTGCTGGCCTAGCTGCTCTTATTCTTGAATCTCTAGTAGCCTTTAGGGGAGTGGCCCTGGACATAGTCAGATGCAAGCTCTCTTTGTGAAGTTGAGTTGCAGGGATTAGTTGCGCTGGTATTTTGCTGGACCTGCTCCAGGGACTGGAGGCCGGGCAGTTTTTTGTACTGATTCATTTCCTTTTTCTGTGGCTAGTACCTCTCAGTGCTATTGCGGGGAGGAGAGGTCCAGCCATTTGGTGTGCTCAAGGCTCTCTCTCCCCTCCTACTTAACATCCATTTGGAGTTGCTGGGAGAGGTAATCCACTGGCATGGGGTTTGGTATCATCAGTATGTTGATGTTAACCAATTATGTGTGTCTACACCATGACCAGCAAGTGATTTTATTCAGGTGATAGTTTAGAGCTTGGAGCTGTAAAGGCCTGAAGCTGGTTGGAATGCTGGCAAGGTGGACTGGTTTTGGTTTTTGGCCCCTGGAATCAAGTGATTGTCATTTCTGATTCTGGAAATGGTAACACCCCCCTGTACAGATCTGGGGAACAATTTGGGACTCCTCTTGGACTCACAACTCCTGCTGGAAGAAGAGGTGGGAGCCATGGCCAGAGAATGAATGAATGTATTGTCTGAGCTTGGTTGTGATATTTCATTACCCAAAATAAGTAGCATTATTAGTGCTAGAGAGGCATTGGCTCAAATCTGTCTTCTGCACCAATTATGCCCATTCCTGAACTGAAGGGCTTCTCATAGTCGCCTCTGTCTTAATTACCTCCTTCTTCAGTTTACCGCAATGCACTCTAATCAGGCTGCCCTGGAAGACATCAGAAATTTGCAACTAGTCCAGAGATACAATTTTAGGTGTCTTGGGGATCATCCAAGTCATACCACCATTGCATGAGCTATACTGGCTTCCAGTTGCTTTCTAGGGGATATTTAAGGTCCCAGTTATTACTTTTAAAGTCCTATATGGCACAGGCCTAGATTACTTGCAGGACTGCCTCTCCCAGATGGTATTCAGATAGGGTGGGTGAGTTCCAGATCTCCTCCCTTAAGGTCGCCTTGATGAGATCTTTGAGGCATACCTTCTTGGTCGTCACTCCAGGTCTTTGGAATAGCCTCCCACCAGAAATCAGAGGTCGCCAACCTTTTTTAGCCTTCTGGAGGACTGTGAAGACCTGTCTCTTTTCCCAAGCATCTGGGTAGGATTGAGGGTTGACCTGTGATGATGTTTGGTCTAGTGCCTGGGGGAAGGGTCTGTTTTAAACTATGTTTATGTTGTGAGCTACCTAGAGTCACTGTTTGAGATAGGTGGACATTTAAGTCTTGTAAATAGATGGTAAAATGCCTTCAGAAATGCAGCACAATTCTGCACTTCCAAAAAGAGGCATTGATTGTTGCCCTAGATAGATCAAGTGTTGGGGGAATTTATAAACAACAGCAAAAAAATTGCTAATGCAAAACATTTTGTTCTGAAAAAAATATGAAATGGTATGTTCTTAATAATACTTTAATAAAATTATTCATGGCTGAAACCAAGAAGATCTTAAGATCTAGTATAAGTCTTAGCCTCACTTCGCTTAGGGGTGTTTTTTTAACCACTGATCATTCCTCTCCTAAGTCCAGTAACAGGGCAGAATAAATCAGTAAATGATGCTATTTCCCAACCTGGGGCCCTCTGGAATTTGGGTTTCTCTTTTGGAAAGGGGGAGAGGAATCCTCTTCAACTTTTCTAATTATTAGAATGTCTAAAACAGGTAAAATGCCTTTTCCCTACTGAATAAAAAAGCAAAAGAAAAAAAAGGGGGAAACAGTTTGTCATTTCATTCTGTTCTATCTGTTCCCTTTGCAGAATCAAGATGGCCTTTGTATCAGAATTCCTGAAGCAAGCCAGGTTTATGGAAGATGAGGAACCACGATATGTTGTAAGTTTCTCTAACAACGAATCAATTTGACTTTACAAAGGAATGTTGGAAGTATAGTTAAATGAATGGGAGCTGTCATAAGATGCTATAGGGAAGAGTATCAACCAGAAATAGTTCTTTCTGAAATGTATTTGAATATAAGTAGCTCGGGTTGGGCTGTTGGTCTGAGCTCCAAGCTTGGCAATTTGGTTACAAATGTTTCATCACCATTTGAGGAGACATCGTCAGTGTGCATCGTCAGACAAGCACAATTCATAGTGCACTGACAATGTCTCCTCGAATGATGATGAAACATTTGCAACCAAATTGCCAAGCTTGGAGCTCAGACCAGCAGCCCATAGCTCTTCCTTTTTCTTTCCAGCAGTTTCTTTTGCTCCTTCTTTGAATAATCAATGTGTTCAATACCCCACATAAATGATAGATGGTTTTTTCCTCCTATTCTACAACTGATACTTTACTTATAAGTTCTGGTATGGGCAGCTTTTGTCCAATCCTTTTACGCATGCATTTAAATTTAGCACACATTAATTTAAATTTGAAATTAGCATAACATTTGTAAATAAATGCATTTCATATTTTTTGAGCTGGTAAATGGAGCAACAAGCTTGTGGCACACACCTGGGAAAGGCAGACTGTCTTATTTTCTTCCCATTGGTATTTGAATAGGTGGTTATGTTCTTTTTAAATAGTGTTAACCTTATTTTTAGGATTTGCCTTACAGGTCTGATATGCTTTTCACTTCAGAATAGTAGGCAATGAACTCTACTGGTTTTTAGCAATGGTGAGGCAAACATGAGACACCCAAAGAGATTTGGGAGTGATCTTTTCCTTTCTGAGATCAAGAAAATAGTTTCAAAATACTGAGGCAGTGTTTAGCTGACTTCCTAAAATAAAAACTTCTACAAGTAGTTCTCAGCTTATGGTCACAGAGCCCAGAGTTTCCATTGCTATGCAAGACAGTTGTCAAGTGAGTTTTGTTTCATTTTATAACCTTTCTTGCCATAATTGTTAAATGAATCACAGCCATGGTTAAATTAGTGTCACGATTGTTAAGTGAATTTGGCTTTCCTATTGATTTTGCTTGTCAGAAAGTCACAAAAGGTTGATCATATGACGCCGGGACACTCCAACCATGATAAATACATGCCAATTGTCAACAGCAATAGCACTTAGACTTATATACCACTTCACCGTGCTTTAAAGTCCTTTCTAAGTGGTTTACAGAATCAGCGTATTGCCCTCAACAATCTAAGTCCTTATTTTGCCCACCTCCCAAGGATGGAAAGCTGAGTCAATCTTGAGCCAGTCAGGACTGAACTACTGGCAGGCGGCAGAGTTAACCTGCAATACTGTATTATCACCACTGCATGGCTCTTTGCCAAGCATCCAAATTTTGATCATATGATTATGGGGATGCATGCAACAACGGTCGTACGTGTGAAAAATGGTCATAAGTCACTTTTTTCAGTGCCGTTGTAACTTTGAACGGTCACTAAATGGTTGTAAGTCAAAGACTATCTGCATATAGTTTCTGATTATTCATATTTAAGAACAGCCTGAAATAAATACTGATACTATGGAATAGCTATACTACTGGGCCTTGTTAAAAACACAAATATTAAAAAAGGGAAGATTTTGCATTCATAGAATTTGTAAGCTCATACAGAAGCAGGGACCAGTGCCAAGATCATGCTGCTCTTCATATGAGTCAGCTATAATAGTAACATATCATTGCTTTATAATTATTTATTATAATAAATGCCTCTTAGCATATTCCTTTACAAATGGTGAAAATGCGTTTCCATCATTGCATCATCCAGGCTATTCTTTAGTTTTCATCTAATAATTATTTTTGAATGTACCTTGAAGATTTGGGCAAGGAAATATTTTTTTGAATGTTTCAATGTTTCAATTTATTCTTAACAGAAAACTTCTAAAACTGGCTCAGCAGTCCATGCTTATCCCAGTTTTGATCCTTCAGCTGATGCGGCTGCACTAAACAAAGCCATAACTGCTAAAGGTAGGAAGGAAGGATAAAATCTGTGAATGTAAATGCTGATTTTTGCTCAGATTCTTATTTCTCCAGTGGTAATACCAATTTAGCCCATTTTTAAAAGAAAGGTCCACCCAAGAATGCACCTACATTTTTGTGTGCTTTTTCCTAAGCATCTTGTGGAACGGTAGATCGAGACAGTTTCAGCAAAGTCAAAATTGCAGCAGGATAGGTTCAAATCATGTTGTCATTTTTTTTCTTGACAACTTCTGTTTCCTTTTTCCTTGAGTTGTCACGTGAGCCATCCCGTTCAGCAAGAGGCCATATTTTGCAATGCCTTACAAGAAATCAGGGTTGACTGGAGAATTCTGGAAGTTGAAATTCACAAGTCTTAAAATGGCCAAGGTTGGACACCTGTGACCTACCTTTAACACCTTTAACATCCTCTTAAAATGTTAGGAAAAGCAGGCAGAATGTGACTTCTGGAATTCTTTCCAACCTCTTAAAAATACTCTTAGTCATATGACCAGCAAGGAAGAGAGAGGATGGTTTAGAATGGA